TACTCTCCAGTACATGATATTGGTATACTAATACCAAAACCAAAACATGATATAGGTAAACCGGTGACTAAACATTGATAACTGGGCATCCTGCCCACCTCCTACTATATTAAAATTAGTGTTCAAGGCTACATCTAAATTTTAAGCTTCAGCATTCCTAAAACAATTCCCTTAGACTCTGCAAGGAAGTATGACTAATTCACCTTGCATGGTGGCAACTAACAGCATGCAGACCACACTGAAGTTTTTGTGCCAAAGCACCAATTCTTGGGAAAAGAAATCTGTATTAGCAAGTTTCTGCTAAAAATTGGCAGCATATACAGAGCACCAAGAAGGAGGAGACAAAAGTGGAGAAAATTAATCCTTTCTAGAGAATATTAATTATTCAGTGTCCTGATACAACACATGGGATAGCAGCCCAATGTGTCATGCATTGCTGCTCATAAACTGACACTACATCAGAAATTGGGCACTCTGGAAAGTGCCACAAAACCAGCAAGGACATTATACAGACACAACTATCCTACTAACTTTATCCCATATTGCTTGTAGGATTTCAAATAGTAGATTTCAATAGTGACTATCATGTTGAAAATCAAGGCTCTTTTCCTGTTTCGTAACTTTTCTCTTAGAGCAGCTTTAATATATTTTTAAGTTCCAACTCCTCTAATTCTGAGACCATTTTTATTTCTCCCTGTAAGACCATTTCCTCACCACAGACTTCTGAACAGGGTTTGAACTCACTCTACAATACAGGGGGACAGTGCAAAAATTGACCAACAATCTACAAGAAGATAACAAGGTTTCTCTGCAAAGCAAGGGCTGAGAGGAGAGCTCAGCTTTCCTTCACTGAGCATTCTGTCGCCTTTCTGCAAGGAGCAGAAAGCCCACACAGAAAAAAACATACAGAAAACCCACACAGAAAACCCAACTAGTTAAGAAAGAGGAGGCTGTTAAGGCAGAGCTCCAAACATCGCTTACTTTAAATATCAAAGAAAAAAAGCTAGCAATAATACAAGCCTAATAAGTCACAGAAAGCCTGGCAAAGTAAAGGTGCTCTCTTTTCCTTGCAGATCCGGGTTACAGAAGCTGCAACTCCTGCAACCGCATCATTACTCAGTTCTCGATCAGGTCAGTTGCACAAAGGCTCATTAAATATTTACAGGTGACATTTTTCTGACTTGTGACAACTAGGATCAAGATAACCATCCGTTTTCTACAGTCATTCTGTTCAAATAATTTTGAAATGTCAACCAGCAAGAAAAAAACAAATAGCAACAAAGCCTACAGGATAACAATTTCTAAGGTTTTAACCAGCTACAAATGAAAAATCTTACCCCTTGAAAGGCATAGAAAATGGCCATAGTTAAAGAAGCTTTCTTCAACAAACTTAGCACCTCTTAAAGAGTACAGGGCACAAACTGCAGGACTAAGAATACAAAGACTAACCAAGTGATCAATTTCTAATCACAACAGTTGCTGGACATTGTTCTGAAATGGCAAAGTATGGTAAAGAGCTGATTTTTTATCTGGCACATAAAGCAAAAAGTAGAAGAAAGAAATCTCACACATACTAACACACGTTTCCCACAAGATGATGTCTCTCTAGAAACCTCATGAAAGCTCATTTCTTTGTGTATCATGTGCAAACACATTACTTGCACTACCCAGTACCTGGTAACGCACTAACAAAGCAAATTTCTTGTGTAAATGAGACTTAAATTATGCCGCTGTGTGGAGAAGCTCACCATCTCCAAGATAAAACAGCCACCAAGGCTTAGTTTGTACATACAGACACACTCAACTACTTGGCAAAGAGGCTTCCACCACAGAAATCTGAGTTAAAAATAGGTGTGCTTGAGAATAGTGGTGTCTTCTTCCCACAATCCTGGCATTATATTCCTTTTCTGACATGAACGCTTGTGAAAGAAGTGGGATCACTAGTACTGGAGACAGCCTACTACTAAAACCACATAATTGGTACACTGACAGAAATGCAAGTCCCCTTTACCAGAATACTCCTACTTTTTGTACCCAGGGACTTCTCAAAGCACTAATCCAGCTTTCTTGCCTTTGCAATTCATGGCCTCTCTGCATGGCTTTTTACCAGGTCCCCAGAGGCACGGCTGGTCTTCACAGCAGAGCTGGGACAGGGCTCAAACACCTACCCCCTTCATGCAGGGCACCGTGCCCTCACCAGGATGAAAGTCTTCTGGCTAGGTTAGAACCCAAGCCAGGTACTTACTGGTAAAAAGCTCTAGTAATTCTGTACCAGTCCAAGCCCTCAGTCATTCTTAATTCATCCTGTTACTCCATCCACAGAAATTATGAGTCATGAAATGGAAGCAAGAAAAGATGCTTTGGCCACAGAAATCAAGTCGCACTTCACTGAAACAGCCCTCCCCTTACTCTCCACATTCAGTGGGGTTGGGGAAATTGTGTCTGCATTCCCCAATGCAGGTCACATTTCAATTAGATTTGAAAATATTCTTTGCTGTGTGACAAAGACACAAAGCCCACGGTGTCTTCCTCAAACCAGGGCACTACAGCCACAGAAACAAGCACAAGAGAAGGTTCCTACACCTTACATCAGACTGACAAATAACTGAGTGGCATTGAGCTGCCTTGCAGATCAGAATAGCTCTGCCTCAGGGCTGTTAAATCCTTCAAATACTTGGTTAAAATGGTCTGTCATTTTAAAAAGAAATCATCTCTTTTTTCTCTCTTCCAATCTATCTCCATAAATACATAAAATAAATTCCTTGTTAAGGTCAAACACTTCTAACGTCCCAGTTAATGCAAGCAGGAAGGGTTTGCTTAATCCAGTTTACACAAGAGGTTAACATGGACAAGCAAAAGCTGAATGCCATTTACCAAGGGACAGTGTGGAAAAGTACTTATTGCCTAGTTATAAACAAGGTATCACTGTATTTAACGCAGTAGATACCACATCCATTCTTTAACATTTCCTCACAAAACAAGTACCTAGCCATAAAAAAACCCCAAACCTCAGATGGTGTGGGAATGGTGCTTTCACACCTGATCTTCTCATAACCAAAATTACTTAAGTTATAAATTAACTTTGCCCCATAGCAGCAAAGCAGAGATAAGAAGTAAACGCACAACATACCTTTGCCACTGATTATTTTTGCTGTAACTGTATTTATTGCTAATGTAGAATGATCTGTGAAAATCTACCCTAATGCAAAATTGTGATAAACACTCAAGATGTGTCACTGCTTTTCAATGTCTTCTCAAAGCATATATATGTTGTCTTTGTAGGAAGTCAATCTTTACAAGTGTACTAGCAACTTTAAACAGAACAACCGGAAAAGGAAGAAAAGTTGAAGTTCTTGAGCAAATATTTTTCTCTGTCAGCACCTAATCCTATCCCTTGTGCTAGCTCAGCTCTGTCTCCATCCTGATCCAGGGGCAGAGATTAGCATGAGCCGTGCAGCAGTTATTGAGAGTAGTTCTGATGGTTCTAGTCACTCCACACATATCACTGCTGCTTCCACTCCAAGAGCAGAGTAGAAAGCCAGTTCCCATGCTACAAAGCAGACACTGCCATAGGCTGTGCTGGGCTCCATCACCACAGCAGTGTAAAAAAGGAGGTAACCACTGAACGAACAGAGGCTTAGCACATTCACTCAAGACTTCCTAGATGTGAAGAAAAGCTCAAGGTAAACCCCAGCTTTCAGCTACCAGGAAAAATTTGTGTGGACCAAACATAAACTATATTTGGATCACTACTATACAAGTGCATCATCCCAACTTCTCCCACCAGTACAACAGCTCAGGCTGAACAAATAGTTAAGGGAATTAAAGTCAAAACTTCCTATTTAAAAAGACAGCATAATCTTCTGTGAATAATGACCCCTTTAAGTAGCTCTTTTCCAATACATCTAACACCTCAGTATGCCAGTGACAGGGGCTAGGATACTAGTTAGAGCATTAACCCAACCAGAAATAAATGCTAAACTGAAAGAACTGAAGTTTTTGGCAGTACCGACAATGCTCATAGAGAGAAGCATAAATGTCATGATTCTGTAAGGGGAAAAGATTCAAAAACTATACAATAACCATGGTCTGTACTGGGCTGAGAGAGGAGATATAAAATTCCACCAGCTCTGAAGGCAGGAAATTGTCACCTCTAACATTTTTCTTTCCCTGCTCCCATCACGCTGTATTACAGTGGGAATTTCGCCACTTCTCCATGTAGTAGAATGAAACACCTTTCAGTTGTGCAATTTTTTTCTAACAGGACCAGTAATTCTCAGTCTCTCACAATAAAACAAAGTGAAAGCGAAATAAATGCCACTCCCACATTAACTGAGAATCCTGGACCAGGAATGTTTTCCACACACTATTGCAGGCCTCTCGAACAGAACGGCCAAGGCAGTCAGCCCTCCAGCTCCTCCTAATGGCAAAGGATAGGCATAGCACCCCAACAAGGTACTGCCATGAGAACGTCGATGTCATCATAATCATCATGTGTCAAGTGCCATAATAACGAAGACCTAAGCATGTGACCAACACAGTGTTTGGTGAAAGACAACACCTGACTTGATCAAATGCTATGATCAGTGAAGGGCAGATCCAAATGCCCAGGAGGCCTTTTCTGAGCCTGACAGAGAAACTTCAAGCTGAGCACCAGTTGAGGTCAATGGCTCTGCTTTAAACTTACTGTCAGATTGACTTAAAGAAAAATGGCGAATAATGCTCATAGAACAACGGAGGGATGTTAACAGAAAGAGGTGACTAGGCTGTCAGGCCCCACAAGACAGAAGAGAGACTGTTAAGGCAGCCAAGGATGTAAGGTTTGAAAACGGCTGAAGATGCAAAGGGTGAATTTCATTTATATTTTCATCAGCTCAAGAATTAATAGAGCTTCCTGGGTTACATTTTCTTTTAGGAAAGAACAAAAATGAAAAGAAATCCAAACCATGATGAATGGAGAGAAAGCACACAGGAAAACAAAACAAAACACACACATATACCCTATAGGTATCAAACATTTTATTTATTTTTTAAAGGAACTTCAGCAATAGACACGATTACAGAATTATTAAGCACTGTAAAACAAAAGGAATGAAATGGCCTGGGTCCAAACACTAATGACCTCACACCTTTTCTTTCATACTACCATCACTCAGAAAAATCACATTATCTGAAAAGAAAAAGAAAATTTAATTTTCAGGATTGTTTTGCCCTGGTGCAAGCCTGCACATCCACAAAGACAATCTATTTGTGTTAAAATAAGCTGCAAAGACCTGTATTTGAAACAGAATAGTTTATAAAATAGTGTCTGATATAGGATTCTAGCTCTATCTCCCCAGAAAGCTGACAATTGAAGGTGATTGTATACACTACGAAACAAGTGTGCTAAAGCTGATGAAAAACTGCTGAACAGTCGAAGATACTAGAAACATTTTAAAATTACAGTTTAATTCTTTGACTGTCATCTCTATCAGTTACAGCTTATTTCCTTTTTATTTTGTCATTTTCAGTATGCACTACCGTCTCATCAGCCTATGTGACTATAGGAAGCTCATATTTCATCAAGCCCCAGTAATTTCTAAAGCATCTCGAGACTGGGGATATTGAACACAAAGAAGAAACCGTGAGGATAAATACTAATTTAAAAAAAAAAAAAGATACTGGCTTCTCCCCTCCAGCTATTTATAAAGAGCAACCTACAGCACTGCTGGCTGAACTGTTCACGTGAAAGTTTGATTAGTATTGTTTTTAAGAGGTTGCACAGCAGAAATATCCAGAATTGGGGGTGGGGTGGGGTGGGTGTTTCCCTTCTCCTCTGGCCCAGGTTTTTTAGATATACTTGTGCAAAAGAAATGTTTGCTCTACTGTCCAATTATTTTAGCCCTCCTTCAAAAGCCACAAGATAGTGGCTGTACCCACAGTAAAGATGTAGGATGCTTATGCTATTTAAAGGCTCAAGAAAAAAGTTGAGTTTCCCAGTTCTCTTCACTGTGTCTACTCAAGTGACAAGTCTACTCCATATCCCTTCTGTGCTCTTCTTGCTACTACTGGCTACCAGTCTGAGGTCTTCCTAAATTTTCTATCAAGTTATCCCCACAGAAAACATCTTTCACAAACAGGTCCTTAAAGTTAGTGAAGCCCCCGGTCTTAGACAGGAATAAAAAATTCCCTGCCAAACCGAGATGAACTCGGCTTAGAAAAGGCATCTGCCTGACCTGGAAGTACTATGTACCAGCGTTCTTAAAACACACAGCATCTACCTCCTGCACCAACTACTTTGTGTGAGCAAATGATGCAACAGTTTGCAACTATGTGCTCTCATTTTCTGGCACTGCTTGTGAAGACACAGAGGACATCTAGTGGTACAGCTACTCATTCTCTCAAAATCCCCAAGTGTGGATACTGAGGATAAAGACAAACCAAGCTCTACTTCAAAGGTCCTCCACCCCCTCTCCATTTTAACAGGGCAAGGTAGGCCTTGGTATGTTGTTTCTCACCTGCTATAATTGTTGTGGCCTGCCGTCTCACGTTGTTTTTATCTGTATATTCACCATAGTCTATCTTTCCTTCAACATAGAGACGAGCACTGGAAAAAAAAAAATTAAAAAAAAAATCAATAATTTGGTTCTTGTCAGAGAACTGTACTGCTGTTTTCTCCTCTGCATCTGATTCTGAACACATAGGCTTTTACATCAGTTGTTGGCAGCAGCTCTGCTAACTTATTTTATGGCACTTCTACCCTAGTATAGCTCCTGGTCACTGTATTTATGACATCAATCATTAAAGCATTAAATCCACAACCACATTTGTTATTCACTTACCCCCTCTTCACATACTGATATGTAATATCCCTGAGGCCCGGTCTGAAGACAGAGATCCTGTGCCATGTTGTCTTCTGACTGATATCCCCTAAGATACATAAAAATAAGAAAGTTGGATGCCACATCCTCTTTTTGATGCGAGCCTCAGAAATTAGTCTCAACATGAGGGTGTTCTCAAATTATGAGAAGTGATCTGAAAACAGAAGTATACTAGCAGTCAATCTCTCACTCCATGCTAGAACTCGGTGTTCCACTCATCTGTGTTCAAGTGAAAGTATTATGCAGAAGCACAGTTTGAACTAAGTGATCAGTTTTTCTGGAAGCCAGTGCTCATACTAGAATTTTTTTCCTCTCACATACTCCACATTGAACAAAGAGGAAAAAAAAGACATCTGTAGCTGCAGACTGATAGAAGAATTAAAGGGAAAATGTATCATTTCTTTTCTCCTCTTGGAATACAAATAATAGCATGGAACCTGCTACACCTCTGGCAACCCCAACAGTGAAAAACTGCCGACTCAATGCTCTTTCCCCTCATCCAGAAGGCAGCTGACATGCAGATCTGTTCAGTACATGCTGCTGAGGATCACTAAAAGACACACAAATGCACCAGCATCTCTACCATCCTCAAAGGAACTTTCCTGCACAAAGACAAAGCAGGATGCTACTGAACATACAAATGCGACCTCCGACATGGCAGAAGCACACTGCTCATTACAGACTCACCTCCCTGGGTTGCCTCACTTTCCCCTGTTCGCCACATCTCATTGGTTGCAAGGGAAAATATGGTAACAGGATTTTTTCCATCCACCTGCCTCATGATAGGGTCCTGTCCAACCCGACCAAGTAACTGAACACGATTCATGGCTGAAATGCAAGAGTAAATACATATCCAGGTGATTTACGATGCTTCTAATCATGGCAACTCATAAGTCAGCAACATTTGTCAAGGGCCAGATCAATTACTTTCTCCACCTCCTAACCATTTTGCAAGTTCTTGTGACTTTTGGCTTATTCAAGGCCCTGTAGGTGGTTGACTGTGCCTGTACTATCACTATCGCTGCTCAATAAGCTCATTTAGAAAGCTAAAGGATCTCTGTTCTTTCTGTTCCTTTGTCATCTTTTTCACAGACACATCCAAATGTCACGAGACTATTTTGCATTTAAATTTTTTTTTTCATTATGATAAAACCATAGCATTACATTGTTTTGTCCTTAAAATAGTAACTTTAAAACAACAAAGTTGCATTGTTACACCCTCTCCTCTGAATTAGAGGGTCACTAGTTTTTACAGAGGTACCAGGACTAGGTGGACACAATTTATTCCTTCTCCTTGTTCAAGGACAACTAGAGGAGGTCAGGGAAGCATTGCTCTTGCACAATGAGCCCATGAACCAAATTGTACAGTCTGAAGCGTACACCTGGAGCAAATCATGGTGGAGCAGCAGCACTCAGGCACATGGGAGTCTGAGAAACAAGCACGAGAAACCTAAAGGCACATATTAGAAAACACAACAGCATACTCAATTCACTGCCACTTATAAAGCACGACTGCCTGCCTTTTACAGGTTGTACTCCGTGTCAGGGCTTTTTTCTTTTCCCCCTTAAGGGCTGCTTGACCTGACAAAGACCAGATAGGAAGCTACATAAGAGTCTTTCTTTGAAACAGCACATTCTTAGTTACTGTGTTCAGGATTTACCATTTCTATCTGTTTCTCTCCAGGCATATTTCAGCCATTCTAAAACTGAGATAAAAACCACAAAGAATAACAGTTAAGTTTCATCTCAGGAGATACTTACATCTTTCGAGCACCAATGAACCAACTGTATCAGACTCATGTCTTACAAACTGGCGAAGCACCTGAAGGAACAAACAGATGTTAGTTTTCAAGACACAAAGTATGAACATTATTCGCATGCTTTTACACCTTGTTTTCTGAACACTTAGAGAGGTTTTGCAAGTACATTCTTTTCCAGTGACTTATAGGGGGCCAGAGGAAAGAAATCCATTCAGCTAAATGAAGCCAATAGGATTATTCAAAGAATATCTGGGTATAAAAAGCTGCTTAGGAAAAAGCACGGCCCAAAGGTACATCTTCAGCAATTATCTGTGGGACATGCAGTAACGACTGTTCTCCTGTCATACATAATAGGAGAGGGAGAAGTTTGAAGCGGAGAGATTATTTAGTTGGTTGGACTTGAGTTCTTGGAAATAAACACAGTTTTGATAGTTTTATCAACTTTCTACTTCAGTTCAGAGATTAACAAGCTGCACCCAAAATGTACATCTATCCACTGCCATAACCAGTTATGATGCACTGATAATCCCTCATTCCCAAGCAAACAGCAAATCAAGGCCACAAAAACCTGAGTACTGCAGCTAAATACAAGCGACAAAAAGAAAAGGAACTGACTTGATGCTGGCAAATACCGGGTCCTAGAAAAAAGGAGGAAAGGACAACCCTACAAGAGACCCGTGTGCAGGAACTGGAAGAAAAACTCATCTCTTGTAACAAGTGGTTGAAAAAATTAAAGGAAGGCAAGACTGACTGTTGAACAGAGGAGCTAAACCAGAGGAAATGCAACTTACAAATCAGAGGTTCTTTAGTATGTCCACATGGTTCATTGATGTATATGCAAATCAGCTAAGACTCATGCCAGATTTGATCTTTTAACACATCATTTATCCAGCACCTGAGTAACTGAGGTCCAGCACTTGTATTCTTGCAGAGTACAAGCACAAGCAGAACTTCCCTCTTTCCTTCACGGGTAATGCCACATATTTTTTGAGAAATGACAAAATAACACCTGCAACCTGACAGGCCCATCAGAATTCAAACTTCTTATCTAAGTGCAGATTCGGCGCTGCGGTAAAGGGATCGGCAGCTTCGGCTCGTCCGTGCAGGAGGAGCCGCCCGCAGG